AAGTTTTTTCTAACATGTCATATTATCTTTAATATTAATATTGATGTTATTATTATATTGTTATCATTATTATTATTAATATAATGTTGTTATTGTTATTATCATTGTTGTTGTTTTTACCTGCTAATGCCACTAATAATAATATTACTATTATTGTTAATTTATATTAGTTGTACTATTATTAACACTATTACTGCTGTTTAATATAAAACCTGTAATTAGCTCTTATTAATAAACTTAATGTTTTTCTGCAAGTTAACAGCTAGTTGAAATCAAAATATGGGTATAAGCGAGTTTGAAACTGCAAATATAAGTTTGATGAAAAAATAACATTGTGACTAATATTGCATTTTTTTAAAAGCTGTAATTGCGAAAAAAATAATTAAAACTAACTTATTAATATTATTAATGCTATTATTGCTATTATTATTGTTGTCGTTTTCACCTGCTAATGCCACTAATAATAATATTAGTAAGTTTTAATAATAACATAAAAGAAGATGGAATGAAAAGAATGTAATTGAAATTGTGCATAAAATATTTTTTGAGTGCTAAAATTACCAAATAAATTATCGAATTTTTTTTTCATATTTCAAGCTAAAAGGTCAATAGTTCATTGAAAATTTTTACTAGTAACAACAAAATGTGGAAAATTAGATAATTTATTTGACAATTTTAGCACTCAAAAAATATTTTATGCATAATTTCAATAATATTCTTTTTCATTTCTTCTTTTATTTTTTCATTTTTTATATTTAAACAATTCAGTGTAGAGACTTGACGTAATTTCGCACAACTTTCAAGGGGACAGGTATTATTTTTTTCAAATATTAGTAACTTTCAACTAAATATCCCTTAAAACTATTTCAAGTTTGTGAAAAACTAGTTCTATTCCATTTTTCTGCACTCATTTATTCTAATAGAATTTCTAATACTTGTCAGAACTGAAAAATTTGTGCTCTTATGGTTTTTTTGTTGAATTGAACAATTCTGCTTTCAATGTTAAAGCACTGATTATTATTATGTTTCATTTTTATCTTTTTCACTACCGATTTTGTGATCTTGAAAATGCCAAAACATACTTCAGTCAGACTTCTAACAACAAGAATCTCTAATTTTTTGGATTCCAAATGATTACTGCTTACATATTTAATTTGAACTGATTCAGTAATATTAACTGAAAAATTCTTTGTGCTAATTGGAATTCTTTAGACTGCAACTATTTGTCGAATAATTTTAGATTGCAATTACATTCCACAAATTGCGACTACACAGTTACTTCTTTCTGCTTTTTGCGCTCTTAATTATTACTGCATCCATTTAAGTGTGACCATATTTTTTTCACATTTTTTGACCGCGATTTTTTCCCGCTCTTTCTTATTTTCTGTAATTTTGATTTTAATTGCATTCCTAAAATTGTAATTATCAATTAATTCACTTATTTATTGACTATAACTTTATTTTCAACGTTGTGAACTTTGTTTTTTTGCTTCTTTTTAACCAAACTGCACTTTCTGAAGACTGTACTTTAAAACTTTTGAATTTGTCTTAGTCGCCTGTTTTGTTTGTAAATGTATTCCAAAAGGTGTGAATATGTAAATATATAAAATCAAATCACTATCACTCGGAGGTTATTCTTTTTTTCTTCATTATTGATTCTCGAGCTGGATCGTATTCTGGCATTCTCGCTGCACTCGCCCAGCGCTCAGTTCTGCACTGCTGATCTCCGCTGCTTCGTTCATGTCGAATAAACGACGGCGATCGAATGAGATGCTTTCGAGCGTTTTCTTGAGTATTACCGATTGAATATATGCCTGGACGTGATCAGATACACTTATTTCCTTCGCGTAACGTTTATGGAAATTCGTCACTATCCTATCTCAAGTCATCACATAGGGAACTTTTGCACTTCATCTCTGCCCCGAATTTTTTAGCAAGTAAATCGTACTTTCGCTTCTTCTTTGTCTCCGCTGCTGTCAACGTGTCCTGGCCAGTGATGCTAATCTCTACCAGGATTACTTCACTTCAGACTAAATACCAGGATGTCCAGTCGATCCGTTCTTATTTTTATTGCTGTTCTTACTCGCAGATCGATTCTGATCTTTACGTTTCATTGGCGAAGATTTCCTGAACAGAATGGCTCCACATGCGTGAGAATACTACTTCCATCTCTTTTGGAAATGACAGTATCGCACTTCATTCTGTGGGCATTATTTCCAAATCATAGCCACATTGAATCTTGTATAGTTTTGCATGTAGAGTTTTCTTTTTTATTTTGCTATACAAGAGTGCTTTCTGAGCTGCTAATACGGTTGGATTTTTTACGAGACTGTATTTAGTCTGAAGGTAGGGCATACTAACTGCTAATTACGTGTTGCGAGGCTTTTCCTGCTTCAAAATTGCCGCCCTCATGGTGGGCCCTCCTGGCGCACTTTCTATAAATACGTTATACGTCCTTTGTCAATTTTTAGTTTTCCATTTACCATTGCGATCATATTTGTGTTATCACTAAATAGTACTGTGATTTTCAAGCAGAAATTAATACCTCATAACGTTTCATTTTTTTGCTCTTTAAATTAATCGCTTCTTGACGACAGACTCAAGCAGTTAATTTAGAATTGTGTCTTTCTCATTCATAGCACAGAAGCTTAAAATTAAAAAAGCATTAATCAAGAAGAGTAATGATAGAAATGCAAATTTTATCCAATCAAAAATATTTCAGGAACACGTGATTGAAACATTGAAAAAACTTGAACAAAATGATTTAGATGATGATATTTGGGGCAAAATTGTTTTGATGGAGAAATGTAGGCGTCTTGCAAAAGCATATTTAAGGTGAAACTTTTTTGTTACCGTATTTTGGTATCATCTGGTATTTTATTGATTATAGCATGCATATTACTTTGCCTTTATCAGCTGATTTTTGAGTGAAAGACTTCTGATTTTTGTAAATCAGTCTTAAATGAATAAAATTTAAATAAATACGAAGATTGTCACATTCAAGTTGCTATGATTTTATCAAAACTTGACTAAAAAGTTGAATTTTTCCATTAATTCTCAAAATTTTCGGTCAATTTATATGAAAAATTTGTAGTGTTTTCATAATTTCAACTTTGGTAAAGAAATATTGAAAAAAGCATGACTGTACAAAAATTATAGAAGGACAACTGTAATAATTGATGGTAGCACAGATGAATACGATGACATGACTCTCGGTTATAACCATTTCGAGGTCGCTGATGGAGATGATGATAGCAAAGATATTCGGCAAAAAATTGGCGATGTTTGTTTGCTGTAATCGCAATAATTTAGAAAACAATTATTATTTAAATAATGTGATATAATCAGCCATTATTACCACACTGTTAATGTTGATAGTAATCAGTGTAATCAGTTAGTTAATATAATTTTAGTTGGACGGTTTATTAATATAACTTTGGTTGATTTGTAAAAATACACATTGAACGATTTTCAAAAGATATATCCAAAAATAAAAAGGCCAGGGCAAAAACTTGGTGAAAATAATGATAAACATTAATAATAATAATAATTTTTAATAATTACAGTTAATAAACTTATGAATCTGATTTAACAGTGCAACAGAAGATAATATCAATGATAATAATAAAATTCAGGGCGTAATCATAAAAATAGATGAAAATGGAAATATCAAAGCAATGGCACGCGGTATGACACCAGTAATCGTGCAAGGATGGAATAATCTGAATTCAAAATGTATTTCTGATCGTTTAATTGCTCAAAAAGGTCATTTGAAAACAATAAAAGATCGCCTTAAGGGTATCACAGATCAACAACGGATCGAAAAGGTCAAATTGTTTTGCATTTCGATTAATCATTTGATAAAGTATCAATTTATTTTTTAGTCAATTTAATAAGTAATACCAAGGAAAAGCAAAAATAAACTAGTGCATCAAATAGCTATTCTTTGATTAATTCCAAAAAATAAAAGTAATATAAATTTGGTTACTTTCTAAGTAGAAACTGAGTGTTTAAGTAATAAATTAATCGCATAAATTATCATTTTCAAAAAATATTTCCTCATGAACTGTGTAAAATTCAATTTATTAGTATATTTCATTATTACTAGTGATTTTTCGAGTTAAAAAGTTTTTTTTTTCGTTTTTAAAGTTGCCATATATAATGAAATTTTTTATGGCGCCAAGTTTTGCTCAAATTAAAATGGTGCTTTGTTCTTAAATAAAATAATAATTAAAAAAGCAAAAATACAAAAGTCTTCTTTTGTAATAACTATTTGTTGTGTTTAAGTAAACTTAACAAGCTATTTCTGCTCTATCTCTCATATGAAAGCAACAAAATATATAAAGATCTTAGCTGCATTCGAGATAATCATTTACTACAAAACTTTCGAGACTATTTATTGCTAAATAAGTGCTTATAGATATTTGATATGCGATTGTTTAATTTGGCAGTTGAGCGCGAATTAAGACAAGCTCAGCCAAATACATCGGAACTTTTGCTCAAAACTTGCATTCGAGTGTCGTTGGTGAAAGATTCAGTAACAAATGCTTTGAAAACTCCATGCTGGTTTATGATTGTCAATTTAGTCGCATTAGATGTGCTACGTAC